CTTATTGATTGTGCTTGGCTGTACATGTTCATATCCTTGAAGATGTATCATGGGGGTGTTGCAACCTAGAAGACACAAATTTGTTTTATGGCTTTATTTGTAGCAATGAGGCAGAAGTCCTATGGAGTAGGCTTGTGTCCTACAGGTCTGACTGACTCAACAGCAGTGGATTCTAGTTTTGTGTTAAAAAGATTAAGAACTTCTTTTCTATATCACTGACTCGCTTGTTTCTTAAATATTCTTTTTCTTTGCTAGCCCCCATGCTTGCAATCTCTGGTGTTTTACTCCCTGAGTCCTTCTTATTGTCCCACCAATCTTATAAGGGCCAACTCAGTTACTGTCTTCTTCAACTAGTAAGTGTCACAGGCCTTGCTCATCGCCACCTTTGTTTAAGGTACTATCTTCTTTACTCAACAACTATTATGTCCTGTATTGTTCTTGTTATTTTATACACTCTTATGTCTCTCCCAGAAAATTTATAGGCTGCCTAAATACAAAGACTATTTTATTTTTACATCCCTATTTAATTAATTATGCCCTAAACATACATTGACAGTTGTTCAGCATACACTTAGTATTGTTCTGGTGGTGCCAACCACAACAGCTATGTTTTCTGATAATCTTGGAAATCTTTACTTAAAACTAATATTTGCATCATAATGATTCATATAGGTAGGAAATATTTCAACAAGTATTGGTGCTACGAAGAGTTAATTTACTCGGCTACTAACTGAAAAGTTGAAGGTTCAAGTTCTTGGAAGAAATTTCTGAAGGTGTATTTAAAAAAAAATCAACTATTAAAAACTCTATGGAGCACAAATCTCTGACAACCAGGAAAAACCAGTATTAGTAATTTTTTTTTCTCTATCAACTCAACAGTGGAAAGGACCATGCTAGACTTTCCCCAGCATGTCTCCTCTGACAAAGAAGTTCGGGCAGCAAGTACAGAAGCAGACAAAAGACTTTCTCGTTTTGATATTGAGATGAGCATGAGAGAAGATATATTTCAGAGAATTGTTCATCTACAGGTAATTTATCTGATACATTCCTTTAAAAGAAAATGAAACTGCATAGGGAAGTAAAACCTTTTGACTAGTAATAAAAAGTATTTGAATTTTCCTAGATTTTGTCCTAGTTATTATAATAATGTCCATACAATAGTAGTATACGATATTATACCATTTACGTTTGTATTGAGTTGCTAATGGCATTCACTTAAAATTCAACATGAAGTGTAAATAAATACCCAAGTCTAAATCTATGGCTTATTAACTATTATGAACTTGATGATTCAGTGTTAAAGGTGCTAAATTTTCAGAATATTGTATTAGAAATAATTAGAAGCAAGTGGGATTGAGTTGCTTATTTATAAATCTATTGATAACTTACTGTTTATGTATGCCGGAATCACTCCTGTCTATCATCCTTACATTTTTCAGGACTTACGGAAATTATGGATAATGAATTTTCTAGGTGGGTCTGCCTTGTGTGTTTTTTCCCTTTTCATCCCCAGTCTTGATTTGTTTCCCAGCATTATGATCATGTCTTTGCTTCAAAATTTCATTTTCTTGATACCTCAGCAATTTGTTGGAAAAGAGGCATTTTACAATCTTGAGCATTTTAATTTGATTTTGCATGTTTGTTTCTACAAAACTCAAATGTTATTTATTCCCTATTAGCATATTATGACAAAGCAAAATAGTTTTTTAAAAACTGTATTTTGTACTGGTTTACATATAAAGTTCATATAAATTGTTTTCCATACTGGATTAAACTCTAATTCACTTATAGCCTACATAATCAAGACTTTATTTAGACATGAAAAACATATACATATATATCTCATGATACTTAATATGCTTGTGTTTGACAAGCATTTTTCAATGTAGTATTTTTACTTACTTACGTACCTTTGGTAGCTCATTTTTGGTACTATACCATATGCTTATGCAAATAATATACACCTTCTCTTCTAAGTTTGTCAACTTTTCCCTTGCCCCTCCATAAGTATTTTTTAAACACTCTATGCTGTTTTTTAAAAACATAGGAGTATGTAAAAATAATCGGCATAATTACTCTTTGTTAGCTAAATTATTCTCTTTTTTCCTTTAGCCACAGTTATCATTTCATTTTATTTGAATTATGACTTTTACTTGTCTCCTGTTTTTATTTTATCTCCAAAATCATCTAGTTTCCTTTCTTGCTCTATATTAAATGATTATCTTAGAACATATTATATGCTTATCATATAATTCTTAGAAGTTCTAATTTCCTTAGATTATTTGTATCTTTATGCCTGAGCTTTTATTTGTATGTTTTAACATCAAGAAAATTGTTTCAACCTTAATATCATTAAATAAATCTAATATTTATGTAACTAGTCCACCTTCTCTGATTTTTATAACTGTTATATAGGTAGGAATATGGAATATAGGTTATTTTCTATTTCCTTACTCCTCACCCCCCTCATTTCACTGTTTTGTTTTGTTTTGTTTTTTTATTTTTAAAAATAGCAAATTAGCTTTCTATTTAACAATTTCCATACTTATTATTTCTAGACAGTGATTGAATTCTAACAGTTTGCCACCATTCTCATTATCTCCACTCTGGTTATTATATTTCTCTTAAACTAATTTTCCTTGTCTTCTATCACCTTTTCATCTTTGCTTTTAGGACAATTATAGACCATTTGGCCTCAAATATATATAATTTTTTAAAGGACATAGTCGTCTTATCTTATGTAATATTCTATAATGTTGTTGTTGGTTTTGTTGGGCATTGTGAAGTCAGCACTGACCTATAGCTCACCCTTCAGCTGGTTTTCAGAGGCAGTTAATCACACAGAAGGAGAGTGCCCACTTTCTCCCAACAACTAGCCAGTGTATCATTTGCCTGAAAGATGACCTCTTTCAACTGCAGGTTTAAAGAATATCTCAGGGCAGTAGTTTCTGAGGATGCCTTAGTCTTAGTCAGTCCTGTAAGTTTGACTGTTTTTATTAAATTTGGGAGCAAATTGCACTTCTAAAGTGTCATAGTACATTTGCATACCATACATAGTCAATTGCCATCAAATTGATTCCAGCTCATAATGACCCTCTTTTGAGTTTCTGAGATCGTAAATCATTTTGGAGAGAAGACTATCTTTTATGCAATTAATACATGGTAGTTTCAAAGTATTAGACTTTCCTATAGAAGCACAAAATATAATATATTGCATCACCAAAACTGCTTTTCAGTGTGAGATAGTGCGCTGAAACCTGCGCATCACAGATTTGTGTTTGTTTCATGTGGTTCACTAAAGAGTTTTATTGTAGCAATTTAGCTCACATTTGGTTCCAGAAATACACAGAATCACTGTACCGGAAAAACCTGGTTGACATTCAACTATTTCAGAAAGTAATATATAATCAAGAGCCAACGGTACTAAGAGAGGAAGACCAAGCTGCAGTGAAAGCACTGGCAGTAATAAAGCTCCAGGAATTGATGAAATATCAGTTGAGGTATTTCAGAAAAAAGATGCAACTCTAGACATGCTCAGTAGCCTACACCAGAAAACTTGTGAGATAGCCAGCTAGTCAACTGTCTGGAAGAGATTCCTATTTTTTCTCATTCTCAAGTAGGATAATCCAAAAGACTGTGAGAATTCATGATCAGTATTTTTTTTTTAAATTATTAAATTTTATTAGTATTAATGAACATTTACAGGGATTTTGGGTTTTCATTCCTTCATTGCTGTACCATTCTCTCTACCCTCTTCCCCAGTTTGTTCTTGTTCCCCTGCCATCCGAATGTCTGTTTTAATTGTCCAATTGCCACAGTGCTTGTCAAAGCCAGTTCTGTTTAATCTCCTTTGTCAGTGTGTCCTTTACCATTCCCTACCACTCCTCCCTGAGAGAGACTTCACCCTGATTCATAAGGGAAAGGGGATGGCGTATTCTCTTAGCTACTTCCTGCTGAAAAGGGACGCTGTGGGTTTCAGGGTGAAGATATTCTCTCACTACTCTAAAGGGCCCCTTTGGCAGTAGGAAACACATAGACTATTATGGAGACTGATTTTGGAATTTAGATGTACTGTTATCAATTGTGCTTAGCCGTACATGTTCATATCCTTGAAGATGTATCATGGGGGTGTTGCAACCTAGAAGACACAAATTTAACAAGTTATAAGTACATGAGTCAAAAATTATGGAAAAGTAAAAGAAAACATTCTTTCATTGTTTTACATACCCTCCCCCAGGTCCCCTCCACCATGGAGCCATCGCTCTAGACTCCTGTGATGACAAATACCTAGTCACATATCTCTTTTAAACAGTTTTCTCCCTCCTCTGCTTCAGTGCAGTATACATTATTGAACCCATCTTACTCAGTCTCTCCCCAACCCCAAGGTTAGTCCCATTCTACAACAGTGGCATCATGCAATATTTGTCCTTTTGTGACTGGGATATTTCACTCAGCATAATGTTCTCCAGAGTCAACCATTTTGAATAATATTGGATGAGTTCCTTGTTTTTCAGTGCAGCATAGTACTCCATTGTGTGAATATACCACAGCTTTTCTAGCCATTCATTTGTTGATGGGATGATCAGTATTGTTAATAACCTGTGAAAGTAAAATCTTGCCCCAGGGTATTCAAAGATGCCTGGGAAAGGGAACTGCCAGAAATTTAAGCTGAATTCAGAAGAGGCCGTGACATGAAGAATAGGATTGCTGATATCAGATAGATCTTGGTTGAAAACAGGGAATACCAGAAAGATATTTAATTTATCTGTCTTATTGGCTATACAATGGCATTTGACTATATGGATCATAATAAATTGTAACTAACATTGAGAAGAATGGGGAGTCCCAGAACATGTAATAGTGTTCTTGCAAAACCTATCCACAGACCAAGAAACAGTTGTTTGAATAGAACAAGGGGATATTACATGTTTTAAAATCAGGAAAAGTGTATGTCAGAGTTATATAATTTCTAATTGCCTATTCAGTCTGCATGTGCTGAGCAAGCACTTTGAGAAACTGGACTGTATAAAAAAGAATATGGCATCAGGATTGGAGGAAGACTCATTAACAAACTACATCATGAAGATGACACAATTTTGCTTGCTGAAAATGAAGAGGACTTGAAGTACTTGCTGAGAAGAGCAAATACTATACCCTTCTATATAATTACATCTCAATGTCAAGAAATCAAAAATCTATACCACTGGACAAATAGGCAACATCATGACAGGTAGAGAAAAGATAGTAGTCAACAATTTCATTTTACTTAGACACACTATCAACATCCATGGTGGTAGTAGGAGTCAAGAATTCAAGGATGTGTTGCTTTGGGGAAATTTGCTATCAAGGACCTGTCCAAAGTTCAAAGGAGTTAGAATGTCAGTTTAAAATTAAGGAGGTACAAAATCCAAACCTTGGCATTATCAGTTTTTTCCTATGCATCTGAAAGTTGGACAGCAAATAAAGAAGACCAAAGAATTGATGGCTTTGGATTGTGATGTTGGCAAATAGTACTGACTATCCCATAGAATGTCAAAAGAACAAATTAATCTGCCTTAAGGAAAGTGCAACCAGAGTGCTCCTTAGCAGCAAGTATGATGAAACTTTATCTCACTCACATTGGTAACATTCTCAGGAGGAACCATTCCTTGGAGGGAGGCGTAATGCTCAGAAAGTTGGAGGGTAGGAGAAAGAGAAGAGGAGGGTTGACACAATGAGCTGGATTGACAAAGTGACTACCACAGTGGCCTGAACATGACAGAGATCATAAGAATGGTGTGTGATAGGGCAAGGTTCAAACAGATCTGTTCTCAGAGTTGCTGTGAGTTATAGTCAGTTCAGTGACTGCCAAATGAAGTGTTTCAACAAAAAGATACAGAACTGAAAGTGCTCACTTGTCTGTACCAAGAAATTTGGAAGGCTACCTGGCCAAGAGATTCCTATTTGTATTCCAAGGAAAGGTGATCTAACAGGATGCAGAACAGTATCATTAATATCACACAAAAGCAAAGTGTAACTGAAGATAATT